GGTTTGCACGTTGTACAGACCGTCTCTTCTATTTCCTTCTCAAAAAATGGAGGAGGTGTTTAGGAGTCAAGCTCTGCTCCAGGAGCAGGCTCAGCAACACCACCAAAAACATACAGTTTAATGTGGGTTCAGCAGGAGGGAACACACACAGGATAAACAGCCTTGGGGCTGGTCTGAGAGCAGAGAAGTGCCTTTGGTTGGGATGCAGCTGAGCCCACGGCGGGGCTGGGGCCATGGCCATCACCCAGGGGTGTCCGCACCAGATGGTTCTGGGCTTTGGCTAAGGCCAATGTCTAGAGGCAATATCTATCCCTGGAGGGTCACCCAGTGTGAACAGCCAGCCCTGCTCTCTAGAGGGTGAAGGATGTGGGGAGCAAGTTGTGCTTGAAGGGAGGTAAGGAGTGGTTAGGAAATGGAGAGCTGTTTGCAGTGATGGTGCTGACACCGAATTGACTGGCAGAGGAGCTAGAAGAGGGCAGGGAGCAGTGAGTGCAGAGGAAGGAACATTTGCCTCACTGCAGTAGCAATTGAGGTAATTTAGAGGTGAGTAAGGCTGGAAGAACCCCGTGGTGCACATGTGCAGGGAGGGGAAGGCAGGTTGTAATTGCTCATCAGCAGCCAACGAGTAACACTGTGGGCCGTGAGCAGGCACACATCGCCTGGAGCAGAGCAAGGGAAGGAGAACAGGTGACCAAGAATGAAGTGTCCAGAAATGCCTGCTGTGAGGGCAAGAGTAGGGAGATTCATCTCCTGTAATGCCTGGTAAGACCAAGGGCAGGTGAGAAGCTGGGAGAACTATGGCTGATGTACCAAGCCACAGTGGCAGCATCTTTTTTTTTTTTTTCTTCTTTTTTTGGTTAAAATTTTCTAACATAATTTCACTGGAGCTGGTGAGTGGAAGAAACATTAATCAAAATGACTCCTCTTTGTGGAAACTGGCAGCAGCTGTGAATGCAGCTGTATTGCAAACCAATGCCAGTAGCTGATGCATTTCCCTTTGGAGCCTGGGTTCAACTGAGTACTAGACTTTGGTTTTCTCCCACATCAATTTTTATCCTTGCTCCTTCCATCCCCAGTCTGATCCGGACAGACTGTATTGTCGTCATAATCCCAAGTTCGCTGCATCGCGCTGCCCCCAGCTGCTAAAACGCAATGCTGAAAATCACCGGATTAGGTCTTAATGGGAGGATCAAGCTGCAGGGAGATGAGTGGGGAGAAAGCTCCTGCTTAAGCAAGTGGACGAAGTGGACAAGCAGATCTCAGGAAAGCAAGCTAGAAAGCATAAAATGTCAGGAAAAACTGTCTTTCCTGGGCTTCCTTCTGCCTGCTTTTCTCTACATGTAGGGCTTGGCTTTCAGTTCCCAAGTGTCAGAAAATGCTGCTCTGAGTTTTAGGAAACAGGTATTGAGAGGTCAGAGGTTTTTAAACATTTCCTCCCTCATGCTGGAAAATGTATTCAAGTTATGGACTTTCTGGCCAAGATGTTAATTCCCAACACGAAACTTGGCCAGTGCATTGGAAATATGGGCCTTGATGTAGATTATGGTGGTGTGCTGAAGGGCCCTGGGTCTTTAATGCTTGGCGTCCTGCTGGTGGGACGCCTGAAGCACCAAGAGACCATGAAACACGCTGTATGTTCTTCAGGTTGGCATTGCCTTTGAGCAACCACCAAGATGCTCCAGAGCAGGATCTCCATGTGGTGCCTGGGCAGGTGGCATCTCCTCCACGTGCAGACCAGTGCCGTGGCCACCCCGTGCTTCGCCTGCATGCATCTGCAAAGGCTCTTGGTCAACAGGGCTCCAAGGCTTTGGAGTTTGGGTGGCAGCCAGGACTGAACAAACCCATCAGGAAGGGGTGGTTTTCTGCAAGCCATGCAATGGGTGACGGGGATGATAGAGATTTTTTGAGTTTTACTTGGCAGTGCCTGTGAACTTTCCATCCAGACCTTTCATGGAGGGGGTGGGTTGTGCCTGTGGGATGTTTTTGCACCGAATTGTCCTCTCTGCTTGTTTTCAGACAGCTTGAGCAAAACATTGCTGTCCCTCAGAATAAATACCTAGATAAAGCTGGGAAATTTGATCTCTGTAACACTGATGAGAATATTCCATGATGGAATCTGGAAAAGAAACTCTACCTTATGCATCTGACTTCTGGCAGGACCTGGTCCCAGAGGCACAGAAGTGACTTCAGTGCAGATTACCCGAGCATATTTTCTGTTTGTTCTGTAGTTTTCTCATCTAGCTTGGAAGATGGGTTTGAGAACAGACTTGAAAAAAAGGTGTCTGCTTAGGGCAAGGGTAGTTTTACTTCTTCATAGATCCCTGGAAAAAAAAAAAGGAAAAAAAAAAAAGAAACACTGCGTCAGGGGGGTTGCAGGTGTTTTATTTCCCTCCGCTCCCTCTTTGCAGTGGTACAAAGAGGGTTACTGAGCAGGGACCCCTTGACCTGAAAGGCTGGGAGGAGAGCCCCCCACCACAGCCCTGGCCCTGGGCTCTGCAGGCAGCAGCAGTGTTGGTGGCAGGTCTCCACGGTGGGCCCCGTTTGTGAGAGCCAAATCCACCCCCTCTGACAGGCCGGCTGCTGCTCCTGCACCCCGGGAACAGGGGGCTGCCAGGGGAAGCTGCCCCAGCACCAGCAGCAGGGGTCAGCTCCCTCTTGGAAGCAGGCTGGAGAATAAATAAAGCCCAGCCCAGGGCTCAGCCACCCCCCCATTCTGCTTCACGTGCTGTGTCTGTCCTGCAAGGAGGGCTGGGACGTGAAGCAACCATGAAAAAGGTCATGGTCTTTAATTAATTAAATTAAATAATTACATTAATACACAGTGTTCAGACTTTTCATAATAATTAGATTTTGCGCCTTCTTGAAGAACATCTCTATATTTGCGAGGTGTATCATCAAGCATGAAGGCAAGAGCACTAAATTAGGCAATTGATCTGACCTCCAAAAAAACTAGCACAGAGAAAAGTGAGATTGTATCAGGGGGGTGGGCAGCAGGCCTCCTGCTGCTCTAGGCTTCCATTTTCCTCCTTTTCTTGCTTGGTCACTGGTGCATGAGCTGTTTTTCAGCCAATGAGAATTCCTGATAAGTTAAGAAAAATGCCTGGAATTTGGTAGATTTATTTTCAAAACCAAAGGAGAGGCGAAGGACAAGGTTGTTCTGAGCGTCGATGATGCCTTCTCTAAGCCCTCTTCCAAAACGCAGATGGATTTAAAAACCCTTATTTCATTCTGCAATGGGGTCATCCTTTAGAAAAATGTTCAGGGACAGATCAGCGTTGGGTGTGTCTTCCATTTTAGGGCCAAACTCTGCTCTTTGGTCTCATGGTGCCATGTCCTTGACCCCCACAGGACTGCACCTACTGTGCGCAGGGCTAGGGCTGGGGCTGGGCTCTTTGTCTGCTTCATCCCTCAGACTGCACGTAATGGTGTCCTCAGGGCTTTCGGGTGGAAGGACAAAGAAACAATTTTGAAGAAATTCTGCCATGAACTAGGCAGAGCTTGCTGGCCCTGTGAAGAGGAAGGGTCCTAGGAGATGAGCCTCTTTGGGCTGAGAATACTCTGAAATGCTCAAAATGGCATTAGGGGGAGATTTTTTTCTCAGCACTTTGTCCATGAAGATGAACAACGTTGCGGGGGCAAGAAGGGGGGACACACGTACACAATAAATGCCTCTGCTTTATTGTTCCCATCATTTCTACTGCGTTTATGAACTCACATATAAAAGACTTACCTTTCACTAGTATGATTAAGAAAAGGCCAATGTAGCTTTCCTGCTCGCTGGAGCATGAAGCGTGTTTAATTTAATAATGCTGATAAATCTTAAAGCCAGGAGCATTTGGCTAACACATGACCCACTTTTTCAATCAATTGGAAACATTTACATAACAGCCAGCTTCGGGGTCCCTCATGTGAGCAAAGGATGGGGAGCAAGGGGCGGCAGACGCAGCAGCAGTAAGTGGCTACGCTGCAGGGCGTTTGGTGAAGGCAAAGGGACACGTAAGGGACACTTTTTGGCCAAATAAGTCCCTGCATGAGCAAAGGAAAATGCCAGATGCTTGTGACAGGGATGAAAAATCTCCCATCTGACATGTACTAAGGGATTAAATAACATGGAGGAGAATTGCTACGAATCTCGCAGCGTTGCACGTAGGAGGGTGCTGGCACTTTCCTCTGACACAGGACCAGTCTCCCCATGCAGTAGGCTGAGGAGACATTTCATGTGCCTGGTCCTTGTGCAGAGATGCCACTGAGGAGCTGTCAGGAAAGGAGAGGGAGGATTTGTTGCCATGCTGTGATTTATTGTCCCCCTGCCTCCAAAATTCCAGTGGCATTTTTCCCTCTAGAGGGCAGAGGAGGAAAAGGAAAGAACGCAAAGGGAAAGGAACATGGCAGTGCCTGGGAAACTGGCAGAGGTTTTGTGAGATACATGCAAGGCATGTGTGGCTGGAAATGACACGTATTCCTCAGACGCAGTGCCACCCCACAGACCTGGATGTTAAAAGAGAATTTTGGTAATCAAGGCACCATCGTGGTCCTTCCTTCTCCATGCTCTTGGGATCTGATGGGCGTTTCCCAGTAACTGAAGAGCTGGCTTTTACAAAACCCACTGGTCCAGATCTGAGCATCCATTCATGCTTGGAATGGTGAATTTTGTTTTACTGGGTTGGTGTCTTGGGTCTTTTAAAGTCCCAACTCCACAGTCAGTCTTTGGCCAGGCTGCTCCATCGTGGGCCGGGCTGCAGGAGCTCCCTGCTGCTGCATCCACAGGCTCAGCTGGGCGCAGCTTCATTTTAGGCATCTGGCAATGCCACTTCAGGCACTTGGGTCTTTGATCCTGCCATGGCTTTTGTGTGAAGGTGGTGGCGAAGCCGTGAGGAAGGACAGGCCTGTCCGAGCCATACCCATCCTTCCCCCTCTGCCCCCAGGTGATACGGCTGTGCTGCTGCCTCCTCCTGCGCCGGGGCTCCCCTCCCGCTAACGCCGTCTCCTGTCCCCGGTAGGAAATGGAGTCAAAGGTCTCCGAAGGCGGCCTGAACGTCACCCTCACCATCCGGCTGCTGATGCACGGCAAGGTAACAGCTTCCGGGAGGGGTGCCATCCTGCCTTCCTCTCCTGCCCGGGTTATCTTCACATCTTGCAGCGTCATTTATGCTGTGTTTGTTGTTTTTCTTTTGTAGGAAGTCGGAAGCATCATTGGAAAGGTAAGGACACGTTTTAAACATGTACTTAGACACTCTCTGAATTACCTGCAGCATTCACTGCCTCTGACGGGGTATATGCCAGTCGCCTCATCCTCTAATGTCCCTTAAACATTGGGTCAGTGTGAAATGCATTTGTATGACAGCAACGGCGAGATACCCACAGAGAGGCCAAAGTCCCCAAAAAAAAGCAGCTTGTCTAGTACAACTCCTGGCTGCTTCACTCTGGTGACGAATAGGTGCTTGTTGCTTGGAAATGTAAATGAAATAGATTCATTAAGGAAGTTTAAGAAATTTGACGCAGTTTAATTTTTTTCCTCTGAGGCTTCAAGGCACAATTTATCCTGTGCGGAAAGCTTCATGAGGTGCTCTGCATCGTGGTGCTTGACATGGTGGTTTGTAAAGTCCTGGCTATGTGGGATGGCTTTTTGGCCAGTTCCTGAGCTTTTCCTCGCAGTTTTCCTCCTAAAAGGGAACTCAGAAAGGAAGGTGGAAGTTGCAGTTGTGCTATTTTGTCTGATTCGTGCCTTACAGACATGAGAGCAGGGCTACGAAGGGGTGGATGTGCCTGGAGCATCAGCTCTTCAGCTCACCCATCACATGGGGATGGAGGGCCCAGCACCACAGAGCTGCCCAAATATTTGTGCTGCTGTGTATTTGAGAGATGCATGTTTGGAAAGGTTGCTTTGAAGGTGAAAGTCATGAATTGCCATGATGACCGACCTGTGTCTCTGCTTCTTGTTTCAGAAAGGAGAGACCGTGAAGAAGATGCGTGAGGAGGTGAGCAGCACGGATCCATAAAATAATTTGTAACGGAGGGATGAGGAGTGGGGAGGGCCAGCAGCATGCAGAACCATGGCCAGAGCTGTCCCGAAGGCTCATTGCCCTGTGAGAGACGTGTGGCTGTGACTCCATATTCAGCCTTCCTGCAAGGACACCCAAGCTGGCTGCCCCCTGAGCTCTTTTGTCCAGCTCTCTGAGTTCCTACGGTTGTGTGCTGAGCCTTCCCAGGGCAGGCAGGGTACAACCCAAAGAAAGAGCGGTGCCTCCAGCACATCCCCCCCAATTTTCCTGGCTGTGGCTGCTCCAGGGCTGCCCTTCTTTTTTGCAGAGCGGGGCAAGAATCAACATCTCGGAGGGAAACTGCCCTGAGCGAATTGTGACCATCACCGGCCCCACCGATGCCATCTTCAAGGCTTTCGCCATGATCGCCTACAAATTCGAGGAGGTGAGAAATGTGAGCCCCTTGCGCCGGGAGGGCAGAGTACAAGGTCCTGCATCCAGCCGTGGTGACCCACCGGGCAAGCAGAGCTCAGGCGTGCCCACTGCTGGGGCCAGCGGTGCAGCTGGGTACCTCCAACCCACGCTGGACTTGCTCAGCTGGTGCACAGCCTGGTCCCAAAGCCTTTCGGCTGGTCCAGGCAGCTCTAAATGGGCAAGAACTGGGATCAGCCTGGGTCTGGGGGACGTGACCCCTCTTTGCTGGCTCAGAGCGTTTGGGTTGGGCTGGATGGCAGGCATCTGGTTGGGGAACAAGGTCTGATGCGTTGTGCTCTTCCTTCCCAAGGACATAACCAACTCAATGAGCAACAGCACTGCTACCAGTAAACCTCCAGTGACGCTGCGGCTGGTCGTGCCAGCTAGTCAGTGCGGCTCGCTGATTGGCAAAGGAGGCTCCAAGATCAAGGAAATCAGGGAGGTAAATCAGACCTGCCGTAGTCCCTGCATGTAGCCACAGCTCCTCGGCGCCCATCTGCAGCCAAGGGGGAATGGGAGCAGCCTTGGAAAAAGGGATCCTCATGCTGGCATCATGTGCCGGGCACTTCCCAGGACGGTCCAGCTGGCACAGGAGCAGCAGCGTGGCTTTTGTCCCTTGGGACTTGCCACATCCCCGCTTGCACAGGGCAGCTGCGGCTCTCTGGGGGCGCGTGGCATCGGAGCTGGAGCTGGCTGCAGGGAGACGGGTTCAGCATCGGGATTGCTCCTTCTCTCTCTTTCTGTCTCCAGTCCACAGGTGCTCAGGTTCAAGTGGCGGGGGACATGCTGCCCAACTCCACGGAGCGGGCAGTGACAATCTCGGGGACACCCGACGCAATTATCCAGTGTGTCAAACAGATCTGTGTGGTGATGCTGGAGGTACAGTCTGTAACAAAGGGGGTAAAGTATATAGGATAAAACCCGACCAGCACCACAACAGCGCTGCCAGCTGTGGAGCGTGTCCTTGTCACTGTTCACCACGCATTAGCAGACCACTCTCATCTCCTGGTACCTCCGTCTGAAACCCACCCAGTGTGTTTTCCCCACCGTGTTCACATCTTATTTCTAGAGTGCCAAGCTGGAAACCAGTTGGGTGCTTGAAGGAGGTGGTTTGTGTCACAGCACCAGCTGGTTTCGGGACAGAGGGCTGCTGGAGGATACCAGGCAGGCTGGGAGGAGGTGGCCAGCGCATCTCCCACACTGGGCAGCTGAGGGGGTGCAGAGGGAAGGGAGCTGTGGGCATGCCGGCCAGCCTGAGCTCCAGTGAGGCAGAGGGGAGGACGTAGTGAGGAAGGCTGGTGGAGAGCAGGGACCACAGAGCGCGTGGACATGTGGTCAGGGTGCAGTTTACTGGGAGAAATTCTTCCCAAATACTTTCTGCTGTGGAGCTATGCTGCTGTACAGATGGCTTACTGGTGGGGCTGACTGCAGCCACATGCCCCACATCCACGCCTGCAGCCTTGGAGAAGGTCCAGGAGGAGCCCACCAAAGCCACAGCACCGTGACAGCCCCGCTCCCGGTGCCTCCCAGCAGCAGACAGGCACGGGCCCTCAGCTTTGCTGGGCAGCTCACAGACCCGTCGTGGCAAGGAGGAGCCTGTTTTAAAGAATGCCACACTGGCTGAGATGAGGAGGGACCCCCAGGCCCACCCGCCCCAGCCCTGCTCCAGCAGGGCCACCCCGAGCAGGGTGCCCAGCCCCAGGTCCCAGCGCCTCCTGAAGCTCCCCAAGGAGGAGCCCCCCAGGCTCTGGGCAGCTCTCACGGACACGCTGTGCTGTTAGGGGAGCATGGGTTTAGCCATGCAGTGGCTACAGGTTATTGTGGCAGAGGTGGGCTTCAGGTGATGCTCTCGGTGTGTGTTGTGTGGTCTTGGGTGGCTGCTGTTTTCACCAACCAAAAACAAGGGTTGCAGCTCCTCTACCTGGCTCAGCAATGTGAAAAAGAAAAAAAGCATTATTTTTTCTTGCAGTCCAAAGTCTGGCAAGTCCCCCAGCTTTAACAGTTTGCAGATACGCTCCTTGTAATGTTTATGTCTTATCTTACCACAAGAAATTCTTGCTCATCCCCTCCAAGATTTGTAGTGCGGTAAAAGAAAAAGCAGGTCTGTGGCTATACACGCTGTGCTTTGATCATGCAGCTTGCCTGCAGAATAGGACTGAGTGTGAAGATTTAAATATGATGCTTGGCTACAGATAGACGTACAGAAGAATGTAGAGGAAAGTGATAAATTTTCTGCAAGATAGTGTAATTTATATTGCCTTTCCTTACCTATTAGTAGCAACTGAGCCATTTCACGTGTGGTAGAATCAGAAGGCTTTGATCTGAAATCTCTCATGATCCCCAGAAATCTCCCAAGGTCTCCTCTGTGGACTGTTAGTTGTGTTTAAGAGTAAACCAACATTGAGAGAACCGTGGTTAGGAGATTCCACGTGTCGTGCCGAGGTCAGCGTGTGGGCTTCACCTGCTGCCCATGCCGATGGGGCACGGGTCTTGATCACGATGCCAGCGCTCTGCAGCGCCTGCTGCACGGCCAGCAGGGCAGTGAGAAACCAAAGCCCTGAAGCAAGGAACACAAGAGGGGTCGGACAGCATCATCTGGGTGGGATGCTCACGAGCCATGCTCACGGTGGCACGCAGCAGCTCCAGGTGTCTCGTGGGGCTGGTCAGGCTGCTGATACACGCGTGGAGTTGGACTCGACGGCCCTCCTGGGTCCCTTCAACTTGAGATGTTCTCACCTGTTCAGACTCAAAGCATGGAGGAGGCTCGTGGCATCCGGAGACAGAAAGCCCAGCCCTCGTGCGCCTGGCATTGCAGTGACACGCCGTGTCCCTCCACATCTCCCTGCGTCTTGAGGGTCGTGGTGGGGGATCTGAGGAGGACTCAGACCATTTTCGCAGACTGGCATCAGCCTAGACCAGGAGGCTCGGTCTGTGGAGAGCAGAGCAAAGGCAGGGGACGCAGCAGAGGTCCAGGAAGTGTTAGAGTGCTGTGCATCGGCAGGGAACTCCCCAGGGTGTCCTCCTCCTCCCATTTAAATGCCCATTTCCCCCATGTCTTCCTGTACAGAAATGCTGTTTGCCTGGTGCGGGTGTTGCTGGCCGTGGCCCCGGAGGCACGGGGCGGAGGCCCGTGCTCCGTCGGGTGCTTTCTAACTCTCTTTTTGCCGCTGTTTCAGGAAAAAGCTGTTCTAATGTTCTCTCTCCCTCTCCTTGTCCCTTTTCCTAGTCCCCACCAAAAGGTGCCACCATTCCCTACCGCCCAAAGCCCGCCTCCACCCCTGTCATTTTTGCAGGTGGTCAGGTAAGAGCCGACCCGCTTGCAGCCTCCACTGCCAACCTCAGCCTTTTACTGCAGCACCAGCCGCTGCCCGTTAGTGCACTCAGGTTTCTTGCCTTCTGACTTGCATGGTGTCATCCCATCCGTGTCACGCCACGGCAGCTGGACCAAAAGCTTTCTGCGGGCATGCTGGGGATGGGGATGGGCCAGAGCATCCTGTTTTCTGGCCTCTCGAGTCAAATTAAAGTGGCTTTGCATGTTGCAAATCGCTCCCAGGTGAGCTGGGCTCCTCCCAGCCTCTCCAGGGCAGCCTCCAGGGAGGGTCGTCCCCATTGCTGCCACACGGCTGATCCGGTGCCACCAGCAGGGAACCCACACTGCAAGGACAGGGCTCACCGATGTCCACTGGAGAGCCTGTATCATGTTGCCTTTGGAGACGTCATGCCATGGTAAACCTGGCTAGATCAAGGCTTGTAGTGGAGATACGATGTTTCTAGCAACCCTTGGAGATGACAGCAGGTTTCAGTTTGTTCAGCAGCCATCAGCTCCCATGGCACATGCAGCACGTCTTCCCAGTTGCTGATGCGTTTCTCATTTAAGGTAACAAGCATTTAACTTCCTTAAAATGAGTCAGGAATGAGCTTAAATCCTGAAGAGCACCCTCAGGTTGGCCCGTTATCTGTCCTGTGTCACCTGGTGCCAGCCATGGTCATCTCCTCCACCTGGCGGCCACCCTTAGTCCAGGAGAGGACTCAAGATGTGCTCGGTGCCCCCAGTCTGCACCCCCCAGCAAGAGAAGTGTGCAAACTGTGTGTGTGACACCCGTTGGTTTTCCAGAGGAAGCCAACACGTTGTTCACTGATCTCCCTATCTCCAGGCACATCTGGCTCCAGCTCTTTCTGCCTGGATTGGGACCCCCCAAATTTGCTCCCTCTCCCCCACGCCCAAGCGCTCTGAGTGCAGACGTTGCAGCACTTTTCTCTGCGTGAGCTACAGCTGGTGTGTTCTGAGCAGTGCCGTGCAAGCTATTTCATGTCCTCCCCGTCTGCAAGAAGTAGCAGAAGGGCAAGCCCAAAGCAGCGTGCTGAATTAGCATCTCATAGTCAGTGGGACGGGTCTCGTGTGGCCTGAGCAGCCACCCTGGGAAAGAGCTTTGGGTCCAGCTGCCTGTGAGTGGTATCCTCTGAAAAGGGAGAGTAAGGGGGCAGCGCCTCTCCTGCTGCTGGGGCTTGGTGTCTCACACAGAGGCAATGCTGCAGGAGGCAGCGAGTGCCTCAGGAATCAGAGCTCTTCCCTGCCCACCCTGGGCAAGCCCCACACATCCTCTGGCAGCTCCTCACGGTTGGGGCTAGAGTGAGACGCTTGAGATGCATCTGCCGAAGATGCCTCCCTGCCTTTTAATTCGCTGCTTCTAATCAAGTTTTCTAATCAAAACCCAAAGGCGTAAATGAACTGCCAGGAAGCGCTGAGCTTCCCAGAGCCCCTCTGCCCATCACCATGGGAGCGCCGGTGCCATCCCACAGGGATGCTGGCTCTGCGCACAGGGCTCTGCCTCCCTCCTCTGGGCTTTTGGGGCTGTTCCTGGCACTAAACACTTCATTGTTTGCAAAACAATGCAGAAAATTTTCATGAGGTGCAGGGATTTATTTTTCTTTTTGGTTTTTTCCTGTCTGTCTTTACTCTCCCTTTATAAAGTGCTGTCCATCTCTTACACCATTTCTTTCAGAATTGTATGAATAATGGGTCAACTAGTGGGATGCACCTTGCTAGCTGGTTAAGTCCTAAACATTGGGTGCTCTCGTGGCTCTTACCCACAGCGGTGCTTACTTTCAGGTTGCTTACAAAAGAGGAGGGATTGCTACAAGCAGTGGTAAAACCAGTGAGCAGTCAGCCTAGCCAGCACCCGCGTGGATCTGCGCATCGCCTTCAGCAGAGTGCTGGAGGAGGTGGGGAGATGGAGAACCCGCTGGGAGCAGTGCACCTTGAAATAGGGCGAGGCTCCCTTCACCGGCTTGCTTTTTAGGATGCCAAAGTCACGTTTAGGTGCAAAGGGCAGTGGTGAAGCTGTTGTGCACCCCTTGCACAGACAGCTCCGACTGATGAGCAGCTTTTGCACAGCGAAGCCTGCCAGAGCCTTGGCTTCCTCCTTGACGCAGACCTGGGACCTTTGAAGATTTGTTTGCTTCTTGTGGAAGAGCCAGACCTCTTCCTCAGGGCTGGCCAGGGGAAGGGGGAACGCTCTTTCCTCCTCCCCTCCAGCCCCAGATCCAGCCTGCGTTGCTGGTGGCTGCTGGGAGCAGCGTGTGCTCTGTGTGCAAGCAGCATTTGCCCCCCGTCAGACAAGGAGCAAAGCCCAGGGCAGGCAGGGCTTCGCCACCACCTCCTTCCAGCTCTACTAACGTCTTGTTTTTCTCTTGCAGGCCTACACGATTCAGGGACAATACGCTATTCCACACCCGGATGTGAGTTTTACCCTCATTTTTCTTACACCCTTTTATGTCACCTGCATGCTACTGTTAATTCACATAATATTAATATTAGACAATAATATTAATAGCATATTCTCGAAGTAACTGGCAGTGTGTAGTATCTGTAATACCTGCAGGAGCCTTTTAACCTGTTAGCACTAAACTTTATTAATTCTGAGGACTTGGCCTGATGCTAAATTGTTTGCAATGTTCAGTGCTATCCCTTTGTTATGAGACAAAACGCACTCTATGCATTTTGTGCCTCAAAACGATCAAAACTAGCAAAGAAAGGAAAAAAAATAAAAAATTAAGAGTTTCCCTTCCATTCCCTCCTTGTCCTTAAAACATTGGTCACCCAATGACTTACGGAGGTGTCTCGGTGGGATGGGGAAAAAGTGAGAGCTCTGTCAGCGCACAGTGAGCAGGGACGTGTGCTTTTGGGGGGGGTCTTCTCTGGGGTGACTCAGTGCCAGGGCTGGGCTTTGTTCGTGCTGAAACCCCCTGCTTATGGCCTGCTCTGGTGCCCTGCGTTTGCTGGGGTACATGTAGGGAAGGGTTGCTGGCACCTCCACGAGTACAGATAGAAGGTGCAGGTTGGCTGGGCTGGGTCTGTCGCGGCTTGGTGTTCCTCCAGCCGGTGGCAGAGTTGGGTGTCGAGTCGGTGCAGTGCTTCTGGCTCAGCTGAGCAGGAGGTGAGGCAGGCAGTGCTCCCCTTGGTGTCGGGGAGTGACTTGGCGCTGCTTTTGCTCTGCAGGCTGGGTTTTGTTTGCAGGAGCGAGGGTTGCACCTGCTCCCAGTGGAGGAGCATGGGTCTTGTCTGGTTTTGGTGGAGGGCAGGTTGGCTTTCCACGTGATGCCAGACTATGCATACTTTGAATATCCCCCTGTAACTGTTGCTCAGAAATCCTCTCATTCATGTGCATTTCACTTTAGCTTCCAAGCGCGGAAGATAAATCCGGATGCATATTGCAAGGGTGGCTCACTATATTCCTTGTCCCAGTTTTCCTTTGCAAACAGCAAGCATTTTCCTTGTTGTTATACCCCTCTGTCTGACAGGATTAGAAAACCTAATAGTGCACACAGTGCTTTGAAAATATTTAGGCTTTAATCAGCACTGGAAAAACAGTGTCTGTGCCTTGCTGACTGTTCTCTGCCCTGCTCCCAGCAGATTTGCTGAGACTTGGAAAAAGTCGTGCGTGCAAGGGCCGTGCTCACCATCCTTCCTCTTGTAGCCCTCTCGCGAGGATCTGTCATTTTAAATACTTGCTCTGCAAAGAAACTGCTCTTGACCGTGGTTCCAGGGCAATGCCTTTGCTCTCACAGGTCTCTGTGTTTAGTGGCTCCCTTTTGCAGACCCGTGACAGCATTTCAAATGCCAAAGCTAAAATGTGAGCTCCTGCCTCGATCTTCTCCCTCTGGCAAAACCCACCTGGGTCAGTGGGAGTTTTGCCTCCTGAAGGGCTTCAGCACTGCCCGGGGTACTCACTTTATCAGCACTATTTCTTAGAAACGTGCTGCTTTGATTATAGGAAGGATTTGTGTGTCTCTGTCCCAGTAAGGGGAGACATGATGGGCTCTCCCAGAGCTCCCCAGCACACTCCTCCTCACCCAGTATCAGGAGGGTGGCAAAGATGCAGGAGGCTCCCTGTGGTGTCCTGTCAGGTGGACTCGTTGCAATGAGGAGCTCCACCTGGGTTTAATTTTGCAGAGAATGTGATATTTCTTTAATTAAACAGCAGCAGGTGTGGAAGTGAAACCAGCAAGCGGGAGGTGATGAAGGCTGCTCCCCACTAAAATTGACCTGTTCACCTCCACCTCCTTAGTTTTATTTTGGTTTAAGTTTTGGAGCAGCGAAGCAGAGCACAAAATGTATTCCAGCCAAAATCCCTCTATGCAGCCGCTTCCTGGTGGGGCTCAAAAAGATACCCAGCGCAACAAGGGATGCAGGGATCTGAAATACCTACTGGCCATGGCTGAAGCCCGCATTTCCCCGTGCTGCTAAGGGCTCGTGCTCGCAGGGCACGTCTCCCAGCCAGCATGGAGCCAGGTGGTTTGTCCATCTCCTGCGGATGTTCCCCACCAGTAAGGGCAGCACCAGAGCGCTGGCTGCTGGGGAGGTGTTCACGGTGTGGCACTGCCAGCAGGGCTCTGTGCCGCCGGCACACGGGCAGTGCCTCCAAGGTGCCCCCTCTGCTCCAAAGCCACGCAGCGGTGAGCAGCAGCTGGCCAAAGCCAGCACAGGAAGGTGGAGGCTGGAAATGCTTTGCACAAAAGCCCCGCCGCTGCTTTAGCAGCTCGTCGTGCGGCAAGGGAACCAAAATGTCTGATGAGCTAAGAATGGGCTTCCTGCTGGTATTGTACTTCAGACCCTGGCCAAGCACTTCTGCAAAAGATTTGGGCTCTGTTGCGTTTTACCCAGGCCAAGTCCTTCTGTTAGTGTTGTTTCTGCCATGTCTCAACATACATGGCTTCCTGGTTTCTTTTTTTTTTTTTTCCGTTATAATTTTGTTCTTGATTTTTGGTGTGACTTGTTGTACTCTATGACAATAACCTTCTTAGCTCTAATGTCCCTCCTACCCCTCAGCAGTTGACCAAGCTCCACCAGTTGGCTATGCAGCAAACCCCCTTTACTCCCCTTGGACAGACCACCCCCGCTTTCCCTGGTACGTACCCACACGCCCTTTCTAGATATCCTTCTCTTCTTACCTGTAGAGTTTCTCTCTCTTTCTGATCTCGTTGTATCTAATGGAAACGAATAGGACCAGTAAAACTGCAATGTCCACAGGGATAGGTTAGCAGGGAGACTAGGTGGAAGTGCAGGGCTTGCGGTCCTCACGGGCACGCTGAGCACGTAATTGTGCACGCCAGCTCTGCTTCCAGCCTTGCTGGCTTTCTGAGCAGCAGGACGAGTGCCAGCACCGCCCTTCCCCACCCGGAGGAGGCAGCATCCCTCGCCGTGTGCCCGTCCGGACCCCTGGGACATCCCCACGGCGCCGGCGAGGGATGCTGCCCTCGTGCCCACGGGATGGAGCAGGGCAGGACGGCACTGGGGAGAGCAGTGGGAAGGCGATGCAGTGACAGGAGGACAGCCAGAGCTGGCGTGGCTCACCAGCCTGGCCTGCAAATCCTGCGCTGCGTCCCGTGGTCAGCTAGGAAGCAGATAGAGCATAGGGGATGGCGATGCTGAAAGCGCCTTCGTTTGCTCAGTGGTCAAGGTGCCGAATGGAAATGCCTTTTCTGACAGTAAATGTTCATCATATTTTGAGCTTCCTAGATGAAGTGACATTGCTTATCTCCTCGAAGGCAAAAGCATTAAATCTGTTTCTTCTTTGCTCTTCAGGAGAAAAGCTGCCCTTACATTCCTCCGAAGAAGCTCAAAATCTGATGGGCCAATCATCAGGTAAAACACAAAGCTACAGGGAAATCAGTAGGCGGCTGTTGAAAAGTACTTCTGAAGTAGGACTGTGCCATTGTTGTGCTCCTGGATAAATCGTCTTGTTTGTGGAGAAGTGAGCATGCTTTCTGGTGGGCAGGTAGAGACCAGGCAGCACCATGCCTGCCATCTCCCTCCGTGCAGCACGCCCGAAGAAAAGCACCTCTAGTTCCTTACCTGGGTTTTGATGTTTGTCTATGGCTGCCATCTCCGTAATGGAAAGACATCAGGGTCACCGCCCTTATTCTTCCATTTAATTTTGCATAAACCTCGCCCAGAAACAGTAGAAAAAATGCTTGTGGGAATGGAAATAACATTTTAGCTGTCTCTCAGCCGTTCAAGGAGAGCTGCATTTTTAGTGGAACAGGACCCCAAGGAGACAAAGCGTGGCCGTAATCTTGGAAAAATTTCCATTTCAAATGTCCCTGGCAGCTGCACATTCATCCGTATGTGCTGAACATGCTTTTATACCCCGCTGTTGCTCAGGGGGATGATCCAGAGACCTGCAGGCTCGTGAGCGAGGGGAGCCAGACCTCCCGAACGTGCCGGGGTGCGCTTCCTGCCTGCCTCGAAAGCATCTGGGGGCATCGCCCAACCGGGAAAGCAAGCGTAGACCATGGAAATAGACCCCACCAGGTGGTAGCAAAAACAGATTTCTTGTTGTCTCTGCGCAGCCTTGTTCTCTGTGTGCCCTACTTTACCCCTTGCAATCACCCATGGCATTAATCCTGACCTGGCCGAACACGGTGATTCCCCATGTTGCATCCAGAGGGGTTAGATGTGCATGTCAGAGGGGAGAATCCCAGTATCCCAAAATGAGCAATCCCCCAGTAACGGAGAAGGATGTTACGGCTGTGGTGATGCAGGGGGTGATGCGATGCCCCAAAATGCAGCTGGGAGAGGCAATGGGGGGCTGGGGTGGGAAATAGGTGTGGAGGTGACAGCACATGCGTGGAGGACACTGAACATGCGTGGAGGGCTCCAGGGAGCAGGGGGAAGGAGTTTTTCCAGGCTGTGGCTTGGGAACTGGTTGGAGGATGAGGCGCTGGTGAAGTGCCCTTCCTGTGCCCTGTGCTCTGCAGCCAGCACTGCGCACTGCCTGCTGCGCGAAATGCAGGCAGGAGATATTTTGTGCAGGCTTTGGCGCCAGCACGGCAGGTAGGGCTGGGCTTGTGTCCCCATCCCCTGCTTTTCCTTGTGTTCCTGACAAGAAATGGGTCCAAGAGACCTCCCGCGAGGGGTCCAGCGTGCTGCCTGCATGCCGAGGCGCAGTGCTCGGGAACACACATCCGTCAGCAGACAGCCTCTGGGGCAGGTCCAGTACCCAGGCAGGCATCGGTTCGCACCCACTGGGTGTCAAACCCAAGGCTGTTGTTGCTCTCAGAACTGATCGGAGCCCCTCTTGTGTAGTGCAGAGGGAAGCACAGACCGCAAAACCCAGCGGTGGCTTGCAGTAGATGCTTGGTGCTCCCAGGGGTTCACAAGCCCCTTGGGGCTTTTGTGAGCAAGGGCTCAGTGCAGCTGAGTTGTTCCACAGCAGCACAGCAGTTCCTGTCTCCTGCTGCTTTGTTTTTTTTCCCCTGCACCCCCTTTATTCCTCCTCTCTTTGCTCGAACACACATTGCAGTCTTTTGGACTCTAGCGCACATTGCTCTTAAAAGTTTATGTTACACAGATAAGGTTTTTCTTGGTAGTTTATGTTATACAGATAAGGTTTTTCTGCAGAGGCTGCAAATTCCTGTTAGCTACCAGGCAGCTTCTGTCCTACAGATTTGGAATAGGATGTCCCTACTTGAGCAATGAGGTGATTTAATATGGAAACCAGTGGGAAAAGCAGGCTTAAACCCGGCTAGGAGTGCTGTGCCGTGCTCTCACGTGGAGCTGCATGTGCCTGATGGTCTGCAGCCTTTCCCACCATGAAGGAGGGAGAAGCTGGGAAGAAACACCCCGCTGCATTCACTCCTTGCTGCTGGCAGTGTGCTTCCACGTGGTTTTGTAGGGAAGCAGGCTCTTCACCAGCATGTTGTTTGCTCCAAGAGGGACCGTCGGTCCCAAGTCCAGTCAGCGTGTGTGTCTTAGCAAGCTCTGGCTTCAGCTCAGCATTTCGGCTGCTGGGCTGCTTTCCTAAGGACGATGTACCCAGGGAGGGCTGGCGGGTACATGGAAACCCTGCCTAGAGGGTTTCTTCCTTCTCCCACCCCCGCCAGCCCTCCGGGGGAGGCTGCAGCCTTGTGCTGCGCAGACCTCCCCAGAGCCAGTCTCACCTGGGGACCGAGGGTCGAGGGGCACAGGGGAAGGTGGCAGCCCACTCCAGATGAGGCAGGTAGCAACCGTCTCCCTCCTCCTTGTACCAGAGTGTGTGATCCCCTTCCCCTCCCGGCCCCGGAGCAGGATGCAGCCTTTGCAATGTCGACTGCTGCGGGGAAGTGCCAGCAACCCGCTGCTGCGCTGCTGCTGCAAGCTGTAACCATTTTCCCTTGCATATGCCCAGGTCTGGATGCCAGTCCCCCGGCCAGTACTCATGAACTCACCATTCCCAATGATGTAAGTACAGTGGCGATTCCTCCGCCTGTGTGTCTATGTGTATGCACATATATATACCTATACCTATATATATGTACTCTACAAATGTATGAGCTCGTTAAATACATTTAGAGATACCCCTTCACCGGGTTCACTCATGCCTTTTGTGCAGCTCCTCAGTCTGGTTGTCTGGGGTCACGAAGCACCTGCTGGTCTCTACCCTCTTGGTGGCTTTCCTAGGGGGAATCCTCCTCAGTGCTCCGTTTTCCTTCCCAAGTGAACTTAGTGCTCACGAAAGATGCCCACTTGACAGCGATCAGCAGCGGAGGGAGCTCCCAAGCCAGCCCCAGTATAACGGCCCGATACACCACTGGCAGGTCTGAGCTGTTTCGGATCTGTCCTTCCGAAAGGCAGCTGCGTGGCGTTTGGGTTCTGGTGGCAGTCAGCAGTTGGGTCCTGCAAGCGGAGGCATTGCGGCGAGGTGGATATCGGACTCAGACTTTTGTCAGAAGGAGGCTGGAGATGCCATGGTCACAGAGAGAGGCTGCTCGGGGTGCTTAGATGGGAGGAGGTGGGATGCAGAGCCCTGGCAGACAGCACCCGGACCCAAGGTCTCGCTTCTGGAGTGGCCTTGTGGTCTCCACGGGTTGATGGCCAGCCTGTGCCCGAACCAGGAGCAGGGCGAGTGGAGACACGGCTCCCAGGCTCCATCCCCACTACTGGCACCCTCAGCCCACCCTTCTCGGGGGGTTCTGGATTGTGTCTGGTGCCTGTTTCCTCTTCTTCCTCCTGTTTACCCAGCTTTTGTTGGCCCAGTGAGGAAGCCCCCCTGGGAGACCACCGGGAGTCCTGCAGGTGCTTCTCAGCTTGCCATGGCCACGGCTGGCCAGCCTGGGGGACCGCGGCCCTGGCAGCAATGAGGGCATCTTTGGGAGTGTTGGGGGACCCCATGAAAGGGGTCTCTCCTGCCTTTTAGCGTGTTGAATGACCTGCCACTGGACACAGGAGTACTGGGAGCGTTCGCTCGCCAAAAGCCTGGCTCACATCAGACCTGCGCTGTATTAAATGTCACTGCCTGCGTCTTTTTTTCTGCCTGCTGAAAATACCTCCTGTTGTTTTGAAGGCTCTGAAATTGCCACTATCACCTTCCCTGGAAAGAGAGCACAGGCTTGGGTGTCTTAAAGGAGGTTTTAGCAGTGCAGAGCAGACCGTGGTTGCACTGCAGAGAAAGGAGAGTTCAAGGAAAGCCGGTGGTGAAATCCAGCTTGTCACTTCTGTGACTGTCGGGAGAAACTTGAATGCTGTGCAGAGACACTCAGAAGCCTCCGAATAGGTTTGGCTCCTCTCCTCCCCCAAGCAGGCTCCCATATGTCTGTATTTTTGTTTGCTGAAGCACCTCCAGCCTCTTCAAGCCATTTCTGCTCTGCGAGAACCAGGATGGGTGGCTGTTGGGCTGCACGTCGTGCTGCAGCCCCAGAGATAGCTGATACCTTCCCAGTGCTGCAGCGGATGCACATTCGGGTCCCTCAGCCTGTGCTCCAGGCAGGTGAAGGATAAGGTGATGAGATGGACATGGCTGGGACTGGCTCTGGCTTTGTGGAACCAAGAAACCTTCACCGGGGGCTGTCAGTGAAGCTTCCCTTGAGGCTTACACAGAGGCACAGCGTCGTGCACAACAGCATCGTCATTCCTCTGCTCTTCCTAACCCTCTGCTTTGTCGGGAGCTCTGCTGGCCTAGCAGAGAGAGTTGCAATGAAGAAGTCTACCCAGAAGCACGTTGCCATCTGACGTTACGATCTAAGCACCACGTGGGACAAAGCACTAAGGCAGCTGTGATCTGACAGCAGGAGGAGTGGACGTTGGGAGCGGTCTGCACCTCGATGCATAGCGGCAGAAGCCCAGCAGCTGACGAGATGAATGAATATCCTGGGTACAAAACTCTCAGTTGTAACCTTGGAAAGGCGCTCAAATGGCCAAGCAGGACATGCAGAAAGACCTCGTACCTGTGCTGGAAATGCTGCTCACCTTCCTGTGCCTCACCCAGCTGTAGTGGTGCATAAGGGAACTGCAGTCTGATGTACGAATGGGTGACAGCAAAGATCAACACACCCTCAGGGACCACTGAGGAAATCATGCCTCTAAGGAAAACTAATTTTTTCAAGAGGGCAAAAGGCGTTTTTCAGTAAAATTCTCCTTTCCTGCCACAGCCTGCACCCTCCTCCCAGGGCAGTGAGGGAGACGCTGGGGGGCAGCAGGGCAGGACGGGGCGAGCGATGTGAAGCTGTTAGCGGCGAGTGTCTGCAGCTGCTGGGGGGCACCTGGGGCCAGGCTGACCCCAGGGAGCCCCGGGCCGTGTTCAGGCGGGATCTCCTGGTTTCGTGAGCACTGAGGTCACGGTCACTCCAGGGCAGGGCGAGGAAGGCTCCGGCCTCGCGGTCGTGCTCGTGTCCCTGAGCCGCGCTTTACGCCGTCCCCCCCCCCTCCCCGCGCTTTCTTTCTAGCTAATAGGCTGCATAATCGGACGCCAAGGGACCAAAATCAATGAAATTCGGCAGATGTCTGGAGCACAGATCAAAATCGCCAACGCCACGGAAGGGTCATCAGAGCGCCAAATCACCATCACGGGAACCCCTGCCAACATCAGCCTCGCTCAGTACCTCATCAACGCCAGGTGAGACCCGGCGGTGGGGCCGCCCGCCGCCCTCACTTCAGGAGGGTTTTGCTTGTAGCCGGGCAAAATCGCTGTCTTCCCCCCGCCGAGGAGGTTGCACTGGGGCAGGGCACGGAGACGGATCTGGTCTGGTGGCAGGAAGGCGTAATTTGGGACCTCGCCGCGCAACCGGCCCTCTCTCGCTGCCTCCTCAGAGCCTCTCCCGCGCGCTTCCAGGCCTCCAAAAATCCTTCCCTCCCACCGAATGAAGTCAACCAAGCAGTCCAATAAACAGCAGACATGGGAACGGCCTGATCGCGTCCTTTTCGTCTCCCGGCGGCGCGTGCCGGGCTCGGGGATGCTGCCAGCTGGGCCGCGCAGCGCCGGCACCACCACTGGGGCCATGGGTGCAGGCAGGTGGGCGAGCGGGCAGGCAGCCCCAGGGGGGAAGGAGGGGAGAGGGGGGGGTCGTCTCACTGGCTTCACGCTGCAAGGCCGTCCGTCTGTCCATCCATCCATCCGTCCGTCCAGTCCATCCATCCGTGCCGGCACTGGCAAGAAGGAAGGGGTGAGGGAGCAGCGGCAAGGTGTGCGCGGTCTCTACCCCCCCTAACCCCCCAGCCTTGCACCCGACCCCCTTCTGCCCCAACCTGCAGCCGTCTCTGCCACCCTGCCCTCCCCACTGCCTGGCCCCGCGGCACCTCCCCACCACCTCCCGAGGAAGGAGAGAAAAGAAAACTGAGCGGCTCTGTTACCGGGAAGGGCTGGCTGAGCCACAGGCAGAGATGGAGGGCAGCGGGGTGGATGGGGCACGGCTCAGCCTCTCCCTCGCTTTGGAAAGGCAGAGCAGGACGGGGGAGCTGGGGCAGCTTGCAGGTGACAGGCCAACGGGGCTGGTGGCAGGGACGCTGGGAATGCTGCTTGCCCCCCGTAGGAGGGATGCTGGTAGGGGTGAGGCCGTGTGCGGGGACATCACCCCTAGTACGTGGCACCTCTGCCAGGAGCAGGCACTAGCTGGCATCATTGAGGGTCTTCAGGTCCACACTTGAGCTCCCTGCACCCTATATGGGGACCCCCAGGCTCCATGTGCTCAGGCCACCAGGCATCGGGCTGGTGACCCTCTGCCATAAGCTGTGCCCTACCCGAACCTCCTGAGCACCCCTAGTGGGCCAGACGCAGGTGCTGGAGGAACCTGGTGAGACATCGAGATCTGGGGAAAGAAACGAGCACATTCCCCCAGTTCAGGATAGATCAGGATAGGTTCAGGACACGGGGAGAGGGGGGATCCATCTGCACAACGCCGAGCCCGTGGGTGCATCCCGTGGGACGTAGGCAGGAGGAGCAGCGCTGCCCTGGAGGATCTACGTTTTCTTTTCTTCTCCGTTTATTAAGCGCTTGTTTTTGTCTTCCCCCCCCCCTCTCTCTGCCCCTGTCTATTCTAGGCTGACGTCTGAGGTCACTGGAATGGGCGCACTCTAATTTCCACCCACCATCCTCCACTCCGCACCACCCGACCCTCTCCAGCCAAGGGCACTCCACCCAGCCTGTACAACCTGTACATTTACCGTCTTCCCCTTACCTCCACAGATACTCTTTTCTTTACTAACAGATATATATATATATATAAATACACACACATATGCACCCACCGCAACGTTTCTTTATGACCTCCTTACTGTGCTCCTGAGACCGCTCCCGAACTCTTTGGTTATGGTCCTTGTTTTCAGCGTACGGTGTTATTACTTCTTCTGCTTTTGGGGATGGGGGGAGGGGGGTTTCCACTTGTGAGACTCGAGACGATGAGGACGGGTCTCTAGTGTCAGCCTAGCGTAGCTACCTAAGGGTTTGCGTTGAGCCCGGCGGCTCTCGCTCTAACCTATGGCATGGTGACACCACCCAGAGCTGTGCTCACTTTCCTCCCCGCAGTCCTCCCCCCCCTCCCTGGTGCTCCCACTCTGCTCGCTTCGCCCCTCCCGGCTCCCCTCTGCCCCCTCTCCCCCCTGCCCTGAGGATAAGGCGTAGTTTTGTACCCCTGTGTTATTTTGGAAGCAGAACGTGCAGGAGCCAAGCCTACGTGCATGCATGGGTTCACGCACAGACGTCTCTTTGCAACATGGCAGGGTCCAGACAAGCCATTTTTAATACTCAAGGAAGGGAATCTCCCTCTCTCTCTCACACACACACACTTACACACACACAACCCCCCCTTTTTTAACTAACGAGCACCTGGAAGCGGGAAGAATTCAGCTGTATGGGATTCACACCCCCGGGGGCCCATGAGAGCACTCTGACAATCCCCACGAGCGACCTTTGGACAATAGCTCAGGAAGCTCTGCGAGCCGGCCGTGTTCCTCAGTGTTTGTGTTCAATAAACGTCTGTGCAGCTCTGCTACCACCGGGCTCCGACTGTTCTTCTTCTGGGCCACCCCACTGCCTCCTCCACACCCTGCTCCGTCCTAGCAGCTCGGAGGGAAGGTGGGGTGTGTGTGCCAAACCTTTCCTTTATGATAATTTTATTTTGGGAAAGGTACCTGTTGGCGACAATGCACTTCCTAAGTTATTCTAGGCTTTCTTTTTTTACCAGGGAGTGTACTTGGCTTACACAAGGTGTGTTTTTCCCAAATATTAGTATACGACCTATGGTAGGACAACAAATAGCTCTCACAACCCCCTTGTCTGGACAGATCTGCCATGTCTGTGCCCCAAGCCCTTCCCCTGCCTTCTGCTTCCAGGCTTTGCATCTCCCTCCTGCCTCTCAAGAGAGGAAACAAATATATTTTCCCTCTGCTAACCTATTCCGTACAAAATGTCTGGCACACATTTTCCCTGTACTCCAACCACTGCAACCATTTCTGCACCCTAAAACATGGGAAATACATTGCCTTTCCCAGCGAGCCCCAGGACTGGATGCCCTTTCCCTCTGTCCCTCCTGCAGAGCTTCCCCCAGTGCAGGGGTGGTCGTGGCGGGTGCGTGTCCCAGTCCCAGCAGTGGCTTGGGGGTAGAGGCAGAAGGAGATGTCCTTGGAGAGGGATGCTTCCCCCTGCCCAGACCTTCCCCGTCAGAAGCCCTGATCCGCCAAAAGTCTGCTCTTTGCTCTGCTACAGGCTGCTTTTTTGTTTTAGCCATCGAGAGAGCACTCACAATGGAAAAAGCCACCTGAGCAACTCCAGCTGGGAAATGCCAGCCGTCCTGCAAACGAAGCCAAGGGGGGTGTTCTCAAGCCGGGCATGCAGAAAGTGATAAACCCAGGCTGGGGCTCTGCAAAGCTTGTCTGCCAGGGAGCTGTCCATGCCGGAGAGGGGCACAGCCCCATCCACTGCCCCCTGCACATGCAGGCAAGAGAGAAAAAGTGGGAAGGGGGCTGAGCCCTTCTGAGGTTAGTGTGCAAAGAAAACAAAACAAAACAAAACAAAAAAACACCACCACAGCAGAAAAAAAAAATCAAACCAAAAATCCAGTGGTATGTGGGAATCTACCAACTTATCCATCACCGTCTGGGACTGAACGAGGCCTGGAGGGAGAGCTGATTAAGCAACCACTGCAGTACCTGCTGGGAACATGCTAATGACAGCAACGATAGCAACAAAATCACAAGGAACGTGCCAAATTCGGCTTTGACTTCCCTGGTGCAACTCAGAAGGAGATGGCATGAAGATGGGCAGCTTTCTTTGGAAGAAGCCGCAATGTTTTGCTTTTACTCGTGGTATGTCTTGGTTTTTTGCATTTAATGTGAGCTAAAAATGCTCCAGCAATGCATCCACAGCCATGTCCCTGGGAGAAATACAAGCACATCTTTAACACTGTGGAGAGTAGTCAAGACAACACGGATGTCACAGTTAATCAACAGAAGAGCCTCAATACGTTGCTTTTCTCTATCAAAGCAATGAATTTTATCCGGAGTGATTCAACATTTTTGGACGTCACTGACTGAGTATTACTCAAACTCTTTGGGAATGGGTTATTTTGTGGGAAAATGGGGTTTTGGCAAGAATTAGTTGGTGCAAAGCCTCAGTCTGCCCCTGTTTGTAGGGTGTGGTGGGGCTGAGGACCACTCTTTGCCCCTGGGCTTCCGCTGAAGGTTTCCACTCCCCCTCATATCTGTCCCAGGGCACGCTCCCGAAACTGAGTGCTGGGATTATCGCTACGTGCATTTTTTCCTAGGCTGTGTTTAGAAAAAAAAAAAAAAAAGAAAAAAAAAAAAAAAGAAAGAAAAAAGGCTTTTTAGCAAAAGAGCTACATAAGTGGTGTTGAAAAAAAATAGGTTGTTTCCCCTACGGGAAAGTGACTTTCACCGGAGAGACTTTAAATTTAAATGTTCTCATTTAGTTGTAATTCAGGGTGTTTTTTGTTTTTGTTTTTGTTTTTGTTTTTGTTTGCTGCTGTTTTGGCTTTTTTTGTCTGTTTGTTTTAAATATGTAATGTTCTCATGCTAGTCACTTTTAATTATGCTAATTTCAGGCTCACGGCCCATCAGGAAGGCTAATTCCCCGCTCGGGGCCGCAGAGGCAGGGTCCCCCGGGGCAGGGCGAGCCCCCGGCCCCCTGTCGCTCCCTCCGCAGTCACTAGATGTCCCCATCGTCCTTCGCAACCCCCTCCC